CCTGCATTTCGCGCACTCGACACGCACGATCTCCGCAGAGGGTTGCACTTTCGGTTGACGTTGTTCGTCCCACCCTCCGCCTTTAAGAGAGAATTTATCAAGTGGGGAAAAGTTTTTTCAATAAAGTGGGGAAAAGTTTTTTCATTAGGACATCTCCCGTGCTAGTTCATTAGGACATCTCCCGTGCTAGTTCACTTGCATACTTACACTTGCATACTTCCACTTGCATACTTTGACAGCTTTCGCTCTTCCACTTACACAGGGCTACGTATAGCGTTCATGTTATTTATCCTGCCAGTGTGGTGAAAGTGTCAATGTCTAGGTGTGTCTGAGTGTAAGTGTCGAAGTGTCAGTGTTCAAAGGATTTTCCGGAAGAACCCTTCGCAATGCTTTCGGGAAAAAACATCAAAAGAAAAAAATCACTGGAAAACATCAAAATCAAAAAACAAATTGAAAAGTAAAAACAAAAAACATCAAAACAAATCGAACAAAAATAACACGTCGGAAAAAAAAACACACCATAAACAATAAACAAAGAACAAAAAACGTCAAAACAAATCAAAAAAAATCGGATCTGGGCAAATTGTTGTTTTTTTATTTTCTGATATTTTTGATTTGATTTTTTTTGGATTTTGACTTTTGGGATTGATTTTTAGTGTTTTAAATAGAAGACATACTTTTTCCATTTTGCATGTGATTTGGGTCAAATGTATTTGATTTGGGGTTAGGTTGTCTGATTGATTGATTTTTTTGTGACAGGGTAAATTTTACACTTTATTATTGATGAGCATTGTGAAAATCATTTTTGTCGTCTACCATATATCGGCAAATATTGACATATGCCAGCGATATATATTATAAAATACTATTGATATTAAATGATGCAGTATTGTGACCATCCATGGAATATGTGTATATATATATGTATATATATAAGATAAATGTTGTGACGTTGTACAATTGAAAGTGATCGATTTCTACTTGATCTTATGCAACAAATGAACATGATCCTAACATTGTGATAGCATTACATAGTTGAACATGTTCTCAAGGCAGAGTTACAAGAAACACAGGTTCAAAGGGTTCATTCACTTCCATTTGGCTATCGGCCGGCCGTGGTGCAAAGCGGCAGCCGCCGAATTCAGAGTCTTTAATATAAACCAAATGCAATTCTCAAGGTTGAGATTTCTTGGAACCCTCGCAGAAGTCAAAGTACAATTTTGTCATGTCGACTTCTGCAGTTTTCAATTGAAAACTCTCTAAATCCCAGGTTTTCCACTACCACCGCAGAAGTCCAAGTTCAGTTTTTGGATGTTGACTTCTGCAGTGGTAGTGGAAAACCTTGGATTTAGACACTATTCAATTGAAATTTGCAGATCTTGAAATATGATTTCCATGCAGTGAGTTCTGCAGAAATAGCAAAAAAAATGGTGCAGGTTGATTCCGGGACAGTCGATCTCATTCTGGAAATCCCGGATTTAGAGAGTTTTCGGATGAAAACTCTCGAAATCCATGGCTTTCGACCCCCAAATCAATGGGCTGGTAAAATCATTGAATTCCATGACCTCAATATATGCGTCTGGGTGATAGCTATCCCAGTATCCAAAGCCGCAAAAGATACCACCTGGGTGGGTGAGGGATACTTCTTCATGATAGTGTTTTGAAATATGTGTGATACCAAGGGAAAAGATAACAACATGTTGTGATAAATACAATGATCATTATGTCTACTTTATATGAACTTATTGTTATTGTACATTATAAGTACTCACGTATTTGAGATGCATAACTTAATGACATCCATAGTCAAAAGGTGTTATTGTTATCGTCATTCCATCACAGAAACATCAACAAGTATCAAACCCAGAAACCAGACCCAGAATCAAATACATTTGAGCCCAAATCACATGCAAATCCTTACAGTTTTTTGTAATTCTAGGGGTTCTATGTCTTCAGGTTTTTTCCTGAACAATTCCCGCTACGCCGCTACACCCGTCCGAAACACCCGGGCGAACCGAGGGCACAGTCACGCCTAACTCTTCCTTGCTTTATTTTTTGTCTCTTCACAGCATGGATCAGCATGGTAAACGATGATAAACGCATGGTTCCAAGGTTTTTGGATGGTTTAGCGTTATGGAACCACATTTGGGAGTTTGATCTCTGGGTTTTGGATGTTCTTATCATGCCCATCTTCCACACATGACAATGGTCGAAGTTTGTTGTCCGGCGTTGTCCCGGTGTTAGTTTTCGCTCCGGCGCGCCTCAAGAGCCGGAGCTGACATGAGAGTTTTGGAGACATCTCAGAGTCGGAGCAGACAGACATCCCGATCTTTGTGTTTGTCTCTGTCTCCGTCTCTGTGTGTTTTTGTCTCTGTCTCGCGCTCTCTCCCTCTCTATCTTACCATCGCCCTTCTCCCATCTTCTACCATGAGGGGTGTTTGTGTGCGTGATTTTTAACGAGGTGTATGTTATTGCTGGACCCAAACTCAATATTGCACTTGGCACGGTATCGCGCATGGTGATGTTCGCTTGCTGAATTCGTGTATGGTTCGACGTCCCTTTTTTCGTACCCCCCTTCGTGTGCCTGTCGTCGTTTTCGGTTTCGGCGCGCGATTGTTTCGTGGCGGGTCACAGCTTTTCGCGTGCGTGCCGCGCCAGGTCGTCCAGCCGTTCTTCTCAGAGGTGGACCCCGAAGTCTTGGTCTCCACCGTGGCCGTGTATCAGCGACCTGGCGGACGACGGGAGGCCGACGGGAGGTGGGCGACCCCCGCTGCTCCGACTCCAAAGGTCGGCCGGTTCCACCGTCGGTAGGACCTGGTCTATGGGAGTTTGACCCATAGCCACGTGAGGTGCAAGTACTATACTTACTACTATACTTGTAACTTGTATCTACTTGTTGTATTGCTGTTGGAGGAAGTTGCTGGCTTATGTTGGCTTTGCATTTCCTATTTCTGCCAGCTGCTATGTGTAGCATGCCTTAAAGCACTGCTTTTCTGTTGCCATTTGTTGCCTCATCTAACTATATAGTTTGACACGATGAATGAGTCAGGGTCGAAGCTGCTTTTGCATGGTCTGGCAAACATGGAAAACTATGTTCAATCCAGGCCTAGGGCTAGGGAATAGCAGTAGCCCTCCACTTCGTTCAGATGATTGCAGACGACACTTGCATCTGAACAATCGAGAAGAAGCCTTGTGCAGGGACTTTGGCAGGGCTTGAGGCTCCTTGGTTCAGGAGCGATTGGAACAGACAAACTCTGCACAATTGCAATGATTAACCATGCAAATTCCTATGGCTGTTTCAGATACTTGATATCGCTCAAATGGTTTGGGTGTTTTATTCGGATCTGGGATGGAAGGATCAACGATCTGCAGAGCTGTGTAGATCTTCTAAGCTTTCCACGCCTCTTTAGCGGCGCTTCCTCAGGAAGATGGGCTGCTGGGATGGCGAGGTGGAAATTCCCAAGGCAACTTATGAGAAGCTCCTGGATGCCTTCCTCTACAGCCCCTCGCTCGGATGCCCCGACTCCGACCGAGTCGAACCCGAGTCGAACCCGCGTCACGGCGTCAGGTGGTGTCATCTCCAAGCGTCATCCCTATGATGCCGCCATTGCTGCAGTGGAGTGATCCGGAACGAAAAGCGCAGCAGTGAGGAAAAGAGGATTAGGGAGGTTCAAGACAGGGGGGGCCGGGGAAGGGTGAAGGACTGTCGAGGGATAGATTTTGGAATATCAATTAACTATTGCATCAATTTGCCCCCATCAATCCAACATGTTCCAACGGTGAACTCCGGCATTCCTGGCGTTCGGTCATGTTGGAAATGCCAGACCGGCAGGCCTTGCAAGTGAAAAACCACGACATGTGCCTTGATGGCTTGCCCCCCCTTCAAACACTTTTGCCTGGCTGGTGATGTCACTGGCCGAGGTTTGACCAGATGCAACGCGCAAGCCCGACGCTCAGAGCGAAGGGCCGACCAGGTGGAATGAAGCCGACCATGTGGTGGATCCTTTAAGACATCAGAGGTTACACATAGGCTGGGAAGGGGTGACATGGTGTGACTCACAAAAACTGCCTGAACCACCCAGTAACATGTCCGACCAACTCCAGGCTAAGCCGAGGCGGCCCAGTTCCAAATCCTTTGAGATCGCTGTGACGCTGCGTGAAGTGAAGACACCAGTTCCACCAGGACCGGAGTTGGGTGAAGCACCGGACACCCCAAATGACCTCGGTGCTCCCGTCACGGTGCTGCCGTCACATGACGTTGGGAATCCGCCGCCTTGGAAGCGCCATGAAGCGCAACATGGACCGACCAATGTCAGACAGACCATGGACCGACTGACCGACCCATGTCAGTCGGATCCACCATGTTCTTCTGCGGCTCAGGTTGTGCTTCTGCATACTTGGCTGGGGCACCCAGAGAAATCTTGGGCCAGTGGGCATCTCATCAGCAGACAATCAAGATTGCAGTACCTGGGGAAAGTATCCTTTGGTATATTAGTATATTAATATACTTATGGTATTGTCCGCGTGCATCCCAGGGGATGCAGGATGGACCATGGCCCTGTTGAACACAGAACAAGAGGCTCATGGATGCCTGCCTAAGATTCAGATAGACCAGGAAGCATCCAAAAAGATCGATAGAATGGACACTATCAGAAATTAATCAAGATACATTAGAATCACTAAGATACATGTCTCATACCAGGACCCAGAGGAGTTGGGTGCTTCATGGACACCGCTGGCGTCCTGGGTCATGGCACCGGGAGATATGAACAGACCGATCGATCCGACCCGGACGGGACGCACCGATCGATCCCGGGTTCGTCCACCGGGCACCCGAGCGATGTGCAACGAAGGTCAAGCTGTAAAGGATAGTACTGTAAATGCATCCACATCCTATAGGTAATACCTAGGTATATTATAGAACATTCACCAGGTATGTATCTAAATACACACATGGTATCAACATTCACGAATAATTATACCAGGGGCATGATGCTGGCGCATGCTTCCGTCCTACCTAAGACAAGCAATCCTTTGTTCTCGTGTCCAAGCCGTGTGATGCGGCTTGGACAAGCAATCCTTTGCATGGTGTGCTGAGAAGAACATGTTTTGGGTCCACCGACAGTTTCTCCTTGCCCCGCACGGCCAATGCAGTCCTCGGCAAGCTCGGCTGTTGTACGTAGCAAGTGGGCCTTTCCCCAACCACGAGCCCGACTCCAAAGAGCCATGCGCCGATTCTTTGGCCCCCAATGGAAAAACATGATGAAAACAACAACATGATCCATGCATCTCTGAAACACTCCCTGCCAAGATGTTGGTAAACCAGAACAAAACACTCTTTGCCATAGGTATGCAATGGGCATGCAAACTTCTCTGTCAACAAGAAAGGACGGGAAAACAACAGTGTGAACATGTTGTGCAACTTCGTTCCTGCCACCTGGGTTTCATGCAGCAAGCTACCAACTGGAACATTGAGGTCAGATAGCAGTTTTGGGATCCATTTGCACAAAGCCCTTGTAAGGGTGCCCTTTGATAAAGGCACGCTCCCACGGGACCTGCCTTTTGATAAAGGCCCATCATTTGCGGAGGTGACTTTGGTAACATGATTCTGAATTCAGATTCGATCTGCAGAACTGAACATATTTATTGTCAGACAGCCAACCCTGGCACAGTTGGGCAGCTACAAAACCTTACACACACCGAGGTGGCACATGTTAGACTGGAAAGAAGTGATGGGTCATCTTCGTGGCACAGAGTGAATCGCCATCTAGCACCTTGCGAAGCCAACTGCTTGGTTTGTCATCGTCCGACAAACCTGCAAGGCCTTTGTGACAAACCAGACACCCTTACTTAGGCAGTCTTGTTCTTTTCCAGTCTTGTTGCCATACCCGCCGTCCTCCCTTCACCAATAAAGGCCATACCCCCGTCTCTTCCGTCTCTTCACAACCCACGACGTCTCATGAAGAAACGTCTTCCCCTGGCCACTGATCGGGAGGCCTGGGACATACCGTTTGCATGGGTTTTGCAGGTCTCTTGGCTTTAGAGGCTTGATTTGTTTGCAGACCCACCCTGAGGTGCAGAATGCGGGCTTGCCCTTGCAACTTCTAGAGGCACATCACATGCTGCATACAGGGATCTGGAGCAGGGACAATTACACCTGTTGGAATAAATGTTCATCACTGATCATCACTGGAAAAGTGGTTGCCCAACCCGTGCGACATTTGATTAGGGTGGTGGAAGTCCAAGCACTATAAAGCATAAAACGCAGCAGAAGTGGACCCTTCCAGATCTTTCGGCATCATTTGTCGCCACCAAAGCTGTGATTCCATGTTTTACTACGATCATTTGCAAGCGTTTGTGCTTTGAGACATGTTTTTGTTCCGTTCGGGAAAGTACAGTAAAGGTCGTGTTCCAGCAATATCTACAATCTATAGCCTGACAGCAAACGATGAATCACTTAGATCCAGGTATCAATAAATCAGTTGGTATGCGTTCACAGGGACATGCTTTCCTGTTCATTTTAGAATATTGGGACTTGCATTGAACACTCTGTTTGTTGGGCTTTGTATAGTTGGGCCCGTGCTATAATAAATATACATTAAATTATGTGTATATAATGTACAAATGTTGTTTTTATTCACAAATCCTCCCTCGGATTCAGATCTGAACCTACGGTTTCCAGCTGTTCTATGAGAGTTCCACGTTGGAAACCTAGCGGTTCTTGCACATCCCCATGTCTTCAGCTGGCCAGGCACGTTGCTCCCCACAACTTCGCGAGTACCAGGTGCCAGCGGATCGGTGGTGGCAGTTGGGGGTCTCGTTCGACCCGCCCTGGTTGACAGGGCAGGTGGACTTGCCCAGGTAGTGTGTTCATTCTTGGTTGACCCACAGCTAATTCCTGCCAGGAAGGGACATGGTGTTTTCTTTGTTCAGGAATTTGTAACAATTATGTGTGGGGAATCGGAATAAGTGGCTTACCTCCATTCCAGGAATGCCTGCACCTCCAGGAGTCTCCACCATGCCTTTGGGGCCTCAACCATAGTGATGACAGAACTGCTTCCTCCTCAGGTTCCTGGCGACCAACGAGCTATTGATGGATTGCATATTAGTTTTCTTGCTGTGTTCTTACACGTTTCACACATTTCGCACAGCGCACCATCCTCAGCGAAACACCTCCGTCCGCATCAGGGGTTTCATCCTCACTCGCTTCAGCTGCCGTCGCGTGTCCAGTCGCCATTCCTCGCGTGTCCAGTCGCAGGTGGAGCTACCAGAGCTCGATGTGGGTGATTTAGAGTTGGAGCTCCTAAAGGCCGGAGATGTCATGCCTGGGAGTGACCTGCTCTCCTTGGGTGCGGAAAACCGTGACTTAGATGAGGTGTTTTGGGGTCAAAGTACCCTAGGGCTCCAGGCGGACATCCTGAGAAGATGGTTTGGGTGGGTGCCAGGGGTGTCACTATCTTCCGAGGATGTGGGCCAGGAGCCCTGGGGTTAACAACCCCAGTTGCACGGTTGTTTCCTTTGTTGATCTCTTTGGTCGTCCACATAAGTGTGTGTGTATATATAGTGTGTGTGTGTGTATAGTGTGTGCTTGTCTGTAAGAGGACTTTCATTAATTCTGTTGCACTCAGCAGGGGCGCAGGTGCCAACGAAGACACTTCTGGCGTACCTGCAGATTTTGCTTTGTTTTAGACCCTGATGATTGAAACAATACTGTTTTGGACTCATCGCCATGCCGGTTGCTGAGGGTCAATGCAGGTTTATGAGGCCCCTTTGCACTAACAGGACCGTAAGGGGCTATATAATGCATTCATCGTATCTTCACTGTTCGATGGTCGCACCGGACTTCATCTCAAAGTGTCTGCCGCAGCATCATTTCATGAGGCATGCTGTGTGATCCCGCTTGCGGGGGCAGCTTATCAGGAGTCCACTCCAAACTGTGTTTAGAACTCAGACGCAGATCCTGAATCTTTCCTTTTCCTGAATTTCACCCTTCCACGGTTTAACGTGCCTTGAAGTGCAACTATTTTTTTGAAAATCATTGTCCAGTTGGGGGAATGTTTGTGCGTGTGTGCGCGTGTGAATGTTTGTGCGTGTGTGCGCGTGTAAAGTTAGAATGTGTGTGTTTGATATTGTTGTTCCCTTCTTGGAGGACCCCTACAGAGATCCCAATGGCCTACGTCAGCTTCCCGGCATCCTTAACAAGCACTGTTTTGGTCCACTGATCAGCTTTCATCAATAGGTGTTGCAATAGCTTGCATGGAAACCATCCTAAATCCATCTAAAACCGACATGATGTTTTGTTCAAGGCTTTTTACACAAGACACAAGCTCCATATCAGGGAGAAAAATTCCTCAGCTCGCAAACCCCATCTCCAACCCCCCATCTCCCGTGCATAGACTTGCGCACAGGTGGCTGAGGAGCTGCTGCGGCTCTTCCAGGTTGCGTTTGGTGCCTCAGTGCCCAAGTTGCTGGACGGCTACATCTCCCTGCGAGGCCAGGCGGACCCCATTAGGTCGGGTCACCATGTAGAAATGAGACTGCCCCCCCTTTTCAAACCCGTGGGCCCATGATGAGAGCTATATTATAGTATAGTAATTTCACCAATTGATTGTGATGGCATGATGCGAGTTGCTGCCCTTTCGTGAATTTGGGCCAGTTTTGTTTCATGAAGTTGTGTTTGTAATTATCTGAGACCAGCCAAAGAGGATTGAAAACGGCAGCCCATGTATGCTCTTTGCCTCTTCACAACCACAACGGTGGTGTTAATGGAGAGGGTTTCATTTTGTGCAGAAGAAAATCGGCTCTAAACGTGGGGTGGAACATGACATGTTCATCCTTTTACATCCTTTTCCCAGCATCATTGAGACCCCATGGGCCGCCCATGGGCCCCATGTTTGTTCTGTTCATGAGAGTCACGAGCCCGCTCTGGGGCTCCAATCCGAAGTCGGTTCGGTGGTGGGTGACTAGGCATCCATCGAAGCCCCGGAACACGCGCTCGACTCGCCGTCTCTCGCCGTGCAGGCCGTGCAGCAGTGAACGACATGCTGGAGGAGTCTTTGAAACCGCAAGGAGCTCAGACGAGATACAGACGATCCCATGGACCCTGAGAAGTAATTGGACCTGTGGTTTCGACCATTTTCCGAATACCAACCCAGTGGCTTTGGGGTTTCATGTGGTCCTCTGCAGGTGAGTATGTCTCACTGTATTGAAGTATTGACTCCTTTCTTTTGCCGCCATGATGTAGGTGATGATGCCAAGTTCATGGAGTGTTTTGGTTCATGACTGGTGTCAAGAGCCATACCCCGACCCCATGGCTGGGAATATTGCATCCTATGAGTCCATCGCGCGTTTTTGCAAGCGTTCCAGAAGGTCCGGGATCAAATAATACGCAATTAGAATGAGTCAACCTAGAGGAGAGATCAATCTTTTCTTGAGGGTGATCCATGGTGATCCCAAAGATCAAATTGAGCATCTTTTTGAGGACGTACCAGAGAATAAATCTCTTCAAGAGGAAGATCACGGGCTGCTCGGGAACTCACGTTGCGCAACTGGCATCTCAATTACGTGTCGCAACTCCGCTGCGGCAACTTATACCAATGCATTTTGCATGATAATAAAAGGGTTCCAATATGGCCTAGGAAACACAGGGTTCGAATACATGTTTGACCGGCGGTCAAAAGCATTTGTGGTGCAAATATGCATCCGGCAACATTTTCCTGTTTAAGCATCTTAGACAGCTGGCACCTTGCCGGATGCTTTTTCCCAGATCGGTAAATGCACCGATATATGAATATAGGATCATAAACCACTACGTTGCGAACATGCGTTCTGCAACTCATCGTTGCGCGCTGCAGGGCGCCTAAGCCAGGATGCAATGGGAGTCAAAAATGGAGCAATCATAGGATGCGTGCGTTGGGTCCAGCAAGGGTGTTTGTTGCAAAAACACAGATTGAATAGCAGCGGCTTCATGGAAAAGGAAGCTGGAACAGGAAGCGCCGCCCTTTGATAGCCTCGCAGGGCTTCCTATGCGAACATTGGAAACCACGGGTGGAAAGGGAAACCAGGTGGAAGAGTGCAGCACATCTGTTTTGCATGAGGCCCACGCACGGTAGGAAACCAATTGCTGAGATAGGAAACCAACGGTGAGCCAAGGGTGGAAAGGCACAGGCTGGCATGTGGCAATGGGCAATGAGGGTCACTCATCGTAGAAATCAATGAGGGGCATGAGAATGCAGTTGGAAAGTATGAGAACTGGGTCAAGAGCTTGGAGGCTCAACAAATCCAAAGCTGTGGTCGAGCTGTGGTAGTTGTTTGATAGTCAACACCATGGGCCAGCGGAGGAGAGCGCAGTATGGGCTGATGAAGTGTATGGGGTTGGAGGTCGCTTGTGTTTTTGAGCAACTTGAAGGAATGACGTAAATGAGATCAGTGGTTATGTGCCCAGTATTGAGAGGTGCTCTCCCTGCGCCACTTCTGGATGAGAACAGCTATTGGTTTCCATTTTGGTGAGGAAGGTCATGAGAAAGTTCATTGGATCGATGAACCATTGGAATGTCTGTAGTGTGCATGCCAAGGATATTTAGCTAGTTGATGACTCTACTAGTTAATGGTTGTTCAACCCTGATGCAACAGCATCAGGAATGCAATGCTCGGAGCACATGCGTACGCGCCATGGTGTCCTGCGAGATCTTCCGCGCCGCATTGGGGGCATATATGCTAGATGATCCTCGCGAGCGCAACCTGGATCTATGGTATGAGATGATGTCAGATACAGAGGTGAGCAATGAGTTCGCATGCATCATGTTCCTGGCAGGAATGCTGGATGTACTTGCAAGGAGTGGCAGCATGTGATGCCAAATGGGACCATTGACGTGTTTTGTGGCTGGAATGGTTCGACATTGAACGACTCGGATGCCTGGTATTTTGATGGGCCCAATTGATGCTTGATAAGATTGTCTGATGGTTCTTTGGGTGATGATGCGTAGTGCCTAGTGCTGCCGACCAAACTATGACAATGGATCATGCCCCATATGAGGATGAGTCTACAGTAGCAACGTGTTCTGAGCAACACGCGTGCGTGGGTGGGTGGGGTGAGGTGGCAGGCTTCTTTGGAACCAGGACGCGCGGCCTATATAGTGTAGTACCATTGGAAGATTCAGCCATGAGCCACATGAGGCAGGTAACGGACGCGTGATGGGGCTTTGCGTTTCACGCCGTGGATTGCAACTATCAGCACGTATCGCGCAATTGTGACGAACTATCATTTCGTTGGAGTATGAACGCGGAAGGTTTCCATTGCCTGGTGGTGAGAGGGTGCAGGGCATCGACGCAAACAGTTCCACTGAATCAAGTTGGCAGGCGGGAGTGGCAGAGCGCCCGCGCCCAGGAGCTGCAGGAACAGCCCGAGCAAGAGCCGAAGCAGGCGGCTGGGGTGGTGGCTGGCGGGGGTGCTACGATGGAGTGTCGGGGGAGCAGACGGTGGACAAGGATGCTACGATGGAGTGGCGCAATAGCAGCAGCTGCAGCACATGTCCTCTCAAAGAAACTCCGCGGGGGCAGAGTTGGGACCACGAGCTGGTCGTGAAGGAATCCAGCACGGCAAGAGAAGGAGCATTGCGCAATTTGTTGTGGGGCATTCAGGCCAGGGTGTACAAGATCTGGTTTTACGAGGATCTGGAAACTTGGTGAAAAAACTTCAACGCGTTGAGCGCAAATACTTCTGATTGAATCTTTACTAGCAAACGCCGGGCCAATCAATTGTACTAACTACAACAACTGCTCACAAATGTTTTTAGTTATTTGGCATTCCGGACTTTCTGGACCAATTAACGACTAACTATATAAACTTTGCCAATTACTTTAAACTTGTTCTTTTGGCGGGAATGAAAAATATATAGAATGAAAAACACGTTTGGCCAAACATGTTTGTATTTATCGAGTTGAACTAGTTATTTGAAATTCCGGGTATTCCGTACCAAGTACGGATTTAATAATTCAAATTTTTGTGATTTTTCAACTTTATCGAGTCATTACAATGCAAGTAACAGTGTTCATCCCCAAAAATGTGCATTTTAAATAAAGTTAGATAGATATTAGTTAATAGCATTAATTTATGCAAAAAGATATTACTTGTATCATATCTAATTTAATTAAATGTGTTGAATATTTGGTTTTCCGGGCCCACTAGTTGTTAGTTAAATGTTAATATACTTAATAATTACTTGGCCCGAAAGGCTCGGAATTCCACATAATTACAAAAATAACTAAAGATACTAATGTTTATCAATGCACAATTTGCGCAAGTAGAAAAATATGTATAATTAGTCAAAACTATAAAGTTAAGTGTGATTTCGCCTGGAAATGTTAACCAAGAATTCTAGAGTTGTTGCTCTAAATTTGCTAATTCCATAGATAGAAAATAGCTGCTGTAATTAATAGAACTAGTTAAATTAATATATCAATTGGCCCGGAAAGCCCGGAATTCCCAATAAATTGTTAGTAAAAAAACTGACCGAAACAATATATGTATATTTATTAATATTCCCTTATTAACGCAAACGAAACCACTTAATGCAGTTGATGAAGCCTTTCCTTCGACATCAGCACAGTCTCAGGTCACATGGGACTGGGACTTGTTCCTTTTTCCGCACTAAAGAGTCCAAAGCGCCCTTTGGATCTCCACCAGCTTCGCTGTGGTCGTGTTACCGGTTGCCTGACGACGTGCAAGGTGCTTTTGTAAATGTTTCAAGCGACAAGTCGTGCATTCGTGTGACCAACATCCCAACAACATAATTTTTATTTTTGTATTGTCTAAAATTTTGTTGCGCACATTGAGCCACCCATGTTCCCATGGATCAAGCGCAGCTCAGGTCCACGTGCCCAAGCAGTAACTTCTCCTCTGGAGAGTTGCGTGCAGGGCCCAGGGGACACACTCCTTTCGATGTTGATTGTCAAGAGTCCAACTTTGGTTTTTGTTCGCTTTGGCATACAGTAGACTCATCTTAAGATCCACCCAGATGCTCTGGACAGCCGTGGGTCCGCCAAAAGGGTCAAAAGGGTGCGTTTGGGCAGACCATTTCCCAAGACCTAACATGTTACAATGTGTATATATAGCATGTTCCTAGGTATGTATGCAAAGTTTGTTTCACCAAACTGCAGTTTCCATTCCCCTCCCCGCGGCATGCTTTGTAGGAGCCATCGACGTGCCGGCTGGGTATACCTCGGTGGCCTTTCTGAGTGCCACTCTGGTGTTCTTCGCAGCTGCTTGGAGAATGCCCATCATGGATGTGGATTATGTGGGTTAGGACTAAAGGTCTAAAATGAGGTTCCGATGTGATGTTTTTGGTGATTCGGAGTTGGGACGCCTGACTCTGGTCACAGATCGTGCTTGGCGATGGTTCCGGGTCGTGCTTTGAAAGGTTGCAGATTCAGAGGTCACAAGGATGTCACCCTGAAGTACTGTCAGGAGTCCTATATTCCTAAGAGTTTCAATTTACTCTTTCTACCCCAAACTGTTAGTGCAGGATCTGATTAGGTGGGATTAAACGTGTCCAAGTTCTGGGTATGATCAGAGTAGGTGGGGGGGTTGATCGGAGGGCACCACACGTTGTTTTCATGTACAGAGACCGATCGGTTCAGGACATCTACGAAGGTTGCAGTTGCGGCAAGGCAATCTCCATGATTTAGGGAATGAGGAAGCATCTATTATCCCAAACTAACATAGACATGTAGACCATCCCTGGTAAAGGAAAACCTTGGCAGAGGATAATGCGGTCAAGTTTCCTATTCGATCTGGTTTTGTGCCCACCATTTATATAAATATGCGACATATGTATTTGTGATGGTGTCGTTGTTTTGTTCAGTACATGGGGAATCCCTAATTGGCAAACAAACAGGGCAGGGAGGGCTTTGAACTTGTGTGGTCGTGAAAGTATGTGAAAGTAACTGTTCATCAATCCTCCATATCCTTTTGGCAGGTGCAGCTTGTTAGCATGCATGTGTAAAAAAACAACAACAAACATCTACCAATATACGGGTTGTGGGCCAACCCCCGACCTGAGTTTCAAGAGGAAGACTTTTGACCTGTCCTTGGGCCCGAGGATGAGACGCTTTCCGCCCACGTCCGGCACGAGGTTCATCTTTGCTGGATCTTCCTCCGAAGAAAGTCGCTGTTTTGACCTCGAAAACGAGACAGACTTGACCAATGACCATCCATTGCCACTGTCTGAGAAAAGGCGAGCGGAGACACTTGTAGGCATGGCGGGTCCGGTCGTAGCTTCTTCAAAAGCCCACCCCAGTGTTTCTTGGCCACGACACGTGAACCACCGAGAATCCGCCGTGGATTCCGAGGCCAGGTGAGAGCTCTCCAGCCTCGCAGTCGGCGGCTCAGGGGCGCGCCGCGGCCCTCGAGCGGCGTTCCGAAACGAGGAATGGCCTCACCGAGGCGGGTAGATCAGCAGATGGTCAGATTTGGTCATCCAGATGGTGATTTGGAACAAAATCTGGAAGAATCTTCAGCGCTGAACAGAAGGAGCACTCTCCAAGCTCGGTGGTTTTTTTCACCTCCAAGAGGGCCCTTAAGCAGACGGCAGAAACGATGACCTGTGGCTGGGTGGTGAAGAACATCCGCCCTCCGAGTCCTCCTGGAAGCCCTGGACGTCCTGCAGGTCCTAAGGTAGAGGATCACTGGTCTGGGGACATGTGTGAATGAGTGGATGTCATAGGATATATTGTATATAAGATGTATGCATTGTGTTTTATAAATACGTATGATACATGTAATGTAAGATATTCTATAGGTATTAAAGCAAACAAACAAATATATATATATATACATATTTGTATATACCCAAACTGGGCGGCTATGGCTCTTTGTGAGCCCGTGTCTTGGTCAGTCCGTCCTGGTCCGTTTGGTCGTTCGTTCGCATCGTTAAAGACCGAGGCTGGAGAATGGTTTCCTTCCTGAGGTGCATGCGCTTGTCAGAAGAACTGGGAAGACGGGTGTCTTGGGCTCCCCAATGGAAAAATGGTTTTGGTTTTTGAAGATTCCAAAGAAGCTTCTTGTTGCTAGTAGTAAGGCCAGGAGCACCCCCTTCGTAGCGACGCCCGAAATGCTCCGTTTGGGGCGGCGACGCCCGAAATGCTGCTCCGTTCGGGGTTCGATGCCCGTTGTTACTTGTTACTAATACCTGTTACGTCGTAGATTCCATGCAGATCTAAACAGACCTGTGAAGCTGATGTTGTCGGCTCCTTCCATTCGTAGACCGTTTCTTCCCACGATCCGCTCGGCCGGGTGGTTTCTCTGGAGAACTCGGCCGGAGACGGCAGGATCAAGGTCGGGAGCCCTGGAGAAGTGCCTGAGATCTTCCAAGAGTGATGGAACTTGATCTAGATTTGCTTGATCTGACAGATGACAGTGATCTAAGTGATCTAATAGATTTGTTTGGTTTGCTTGTTTCATCTTGCTTCATGGTGAACTTCTTCACAGATCTGGTTTGAACCAATTGTGATCGAACTTGATCTGATTGGTTTGAGCAAAAACGAGGACCAAGGGCTTCTAAATTGGGTCACAGATGGAACGAAGCTGGTGAATGGGTTCCCAAGCAAGATGGAAAGCAGTATTTCTGAAGATGGTTTCGACCAGAGATGTTTTTTGGCGATTTCGGAAGGGGAGAACTTCCAATGGCTTCCCTTACTATAGGGTGGCTTTTCATCTGCCATGTCAGATTTGGGGGGAGGCTTTCTCCTCGAACGGGCCACAATGAGGGGGATCCATGGGGATCCCCAACCAAGTCACTTTGAGAAAACTGTTTGTTGTGACTGTTTGGGGAAGCCTACCTGGACCATGGCATGGTGGACTCACCAATAATTCAACAGTGAGGGTTGATGCATACGGACGGAGGGTTGTTCTGACTCATTGATGCGGATGGTTTCTGATTTTGGATGGTTTGTGGTCGATCACCGTCCACCGTCAACCGTCGGTTGATCCAGAAACCGCCGTTGCAGCGACCGGTGGAGTCCTTGTTCAGCCGAACTCGCTCGGAAAAACACGAATTCCACCGGCCAAAGGGAAGAAATGCGCCAAATGCTGCCAAGTTGGTTTTCTTTGTGGACAGTTACCTGTCAACAACTCCTCACCTAGTCTAGTGCCACAAGACTTAGGAATTCATCAATGTGCTTTCCTAGCCACACAAGAAGCATTAACTCATCAGTTCTTCGGGGCATGCCTAAAGCAAGTCATAGAGGGTCCAATAGTAGGGGGGGTCCAGCATGTCAGGTTGGTGAATTACGATCAAAGATATTCATATTTATATATATATATATATAGTTAGTACATAAATCATCCCTTCTCGCCCCCTATGCAGGGGTTGGATGTTGCTGATTTGGTCAGTTTGATGTAGAATTGGAAATGAACAAAACTCTAAGTTCACTGAAAGAGAAAGACAAGTCTTTACTTCACTTCAGCGCAAGAACCGTGTCTTTTAAACATGGAACCTTCCAAGCCTCGTGACACTCCTTTGCTGAATGTGGAACCGGCGAACCACGTATCGCCCCTCGGACATGGTGAGAGGGAGATGGTACATATATATATATATACATAGATACATAGATACATACATAGATATATATATATATACGTATGTTTATATCATATTTGCCAGCAGTCCCAAAGGGATATAGGGGTGTCCCACTGGAGGAGCCACCCAACTCCATGGAACGCCGCCCTGGATTTCATGGTCACAGAAAGGACATGTTCAGATTCTTTAGGGGATGAGTCTAGACCTCCGGAGGTCCGGGGTCCTTGTTTCATCACTTCCACAGAGGTGAAGAATGGTTTTCGGGTGAGGTGTGAAACTGGTGAACAAAACCAGGAGTGTGAGGTGCCAACCATCATGGAACAGAAAGGGCCGCCGGGTGTTTCTCCAGTGCTACTTACATTCCCATCTACTTAGATCACTGACTTCGCGGCAAATATATATATATATAGCAGCATGAAATTATAAAACAATTGAACATTGCCAATTAGTTTCTACTTACCAGATCACGGGGGAAAAAAACAACATATTCAAGCTAATGATTTAATCCGTTTAGTTTTGCCTCATACCACCTCACGTATTTGATGATCTTTGATTGTTTTCTCGGCCGAATCAGGACGAACTCTTGGAGATCGTGGCCACCATTACCTGCCTGTGAAGAAGACGGCGGTGATGAGTTCCTGAGCATCGAGTTTTCAGGGAAGGTGTGGGGACCTGGGACCTAGCCAGGTAGTTACTAGAGCAGATGTTTGGCTGATCCATACTAGCAGATGAACGCCACACCACTCGTGTGGGCGAAGCGTCTCCTTTGAAGGAGACTCCGGTCTTCTCGTTCCCTTCGGAGTCCGGTGCATCCGCTGCGCCGTCGGTGATGGTGCGCCGTCCAGCTAGGACACCCATGTTCCAGGAGGTGGTCGACGGTCCTGGGAGGATATTCCATTGTGCTTTCAGGCGAAGAATGGACTTAGTTCCGTGTGGAATGGATTGATGACTCACGGTCGTCACCATGACTGGGTTGAATTTCAGGGTCGTCACTCCCATGCAATGCCCCCAGCGACCAAGTTTGGACGTGTGACAGGAGGTTGTTCCATTTTCTCCTTCATGGTCCACCCTTACATGCTCAGCCTGTGGCAAGGTACACGCGAATTCTGGATCCATGGCAGCACTGGATTGCGCAGATTTGACGTTCGATTGATGTTCACCAGGCTTTGCACTTCGGAAAGCTCTTGGAGAGGGCTTTTCAGCCTGTGTCTTCCACACCCTACAAAGATCCAATGCATGATGCATCCCAGAGTCTCTCAGCGTCGCTGAGGATTTTATGCACAAAGTGGAGACCTTCGATCCGCTGCCCCACGAAGAGTTCTTGGATTTAGCTCGGCTCTTCCAGCCCCGGGTCGTGAGCAACGGCGAGGCCAGGAGTGGATCTGTGGATCTCTGAGGAGCAGTGAATCTCTGAGGAGCATAGGGAGTTTGGCCTCGTATGTAAGCCTTCCATTGGAATGAACAACAGCGGCTGAAGGAGCCAGATGTTTTTTCGGACTTGCGAGGCAAAATGGCTGACTCTTGTGCCCTTCCTTTCCCCTGCATATGTAAGAGTGTAGGCCTGGGCGCCCACCTGAACATTGGCAAAGGAGACCAGGTCCCGCGTTCTCGGCGGCCCCAGTCTCCGGTTCGGCTCGGATGGTTCCCGTCTCCAACCTCGGGTCGCCCCTCCGTGAGGCCATCATCAAGCAAGGTTCTGAAGGCACAGAGCGCCTCGACGGTGTCCTCGAGCGGCGAGGATGAGGATTCGCGCAATAACGCGTCTGTCGGTGGACGTCAGATGTCGGTCACGTGTCCAAGCAGATGTGGATAAGATCCTTTGGAGAGGTTCCGTTTTCCCAGGATGTGTTGCTTCTTGGCTGTTCGAAACCGACCCCTCTCATTTTATGTTATTTTGCTCTTCCACCTACCAGAGGGGCGAAGCAACATTGATGTTTTCAGAGTTGGTCATCCTATGTATCGCCGTTGGTTTTTGTGAATATGAATCAACCTGCATCCACAGCTGGTGTCAGGATGTGTCAGGTGTACATGCACCATCCTGCACCTCATCCTCGTTTTACCATGTTTTACCATGTTTTACCAACTCTTACCCCTGTGCAAGCTGAGGCTTTACTTCATCCAGACGGGACTTTGCTCTGTGCGAGTGCAAGAAGGACAACATGAGAGACAGGTCGCCACTCTACGACCAGGCACTCTGTCGTCCTCGGGTGGGATGGGCCACGCTTGGCCACGCGGGTGGACAGCGGGATCGTTTGGGCAATGGCCCCCGCGGTTGGTGCACTTGGACTAACTGCAAGTCGTTCAAATAGTCATGGGTCACACCCAGGACTGGTCAACCTATGGGAGGTCGTTTTTGCTATGAGAGCTGTTGGAACAGGTTGGACCCCACCAGGTGGAACCGGCCCATGTTTTCACTGGAAGCCCGGCCTGGCCTTGGCCCGTTCGAGCGGAGGCGCCTACTTTGGCGAGGTGGCCTTGATCGAGCACGAGCCGCACAACGCCTCCGTCTATGCGCAGGGCGAGGCCTCAGCCAGGGATGAGGAAGTAAAAAGCTGCTGTGGTGACTAGCGCCGCGCTGTGGGTGCCGTGGTTCGTGGAGGTGCCTCAGATCTCATGATATCTCTAGAGTCTAGATCTAGTTTATTTCCAAGTTGAACTCTTCTTGGAGGTTCTTGTTCTTTAGATGTTACATGATGTTACCAATTCTTCAATACGAGGCCCAAGATTTGTTTGAGGTTGACGGACAGGCTATGCGCGATCCAAACACCCACCGCTCCATTCGCTGAAAAATTACACGGTAAATACAGCTTCTTGGACCAACTCGGTGAGATGGATTGATATGGTTCGGACATGTTCGGAATATGTCATTTGGATTGTGGATTCATTTGGATATTTCGTTCCATGTCTACTTACTCTCCAACTTCTCCTCAGACTGCGCGACTGCGCAGCCTGCATTGCATCGCTGAATCGGGGACGGAGTTCCAACGCGCGAGCGCGTACTGTAGGTGCTGCTGTACGGCCTGCATAAGAGCCATTTCTACGACTTCCGGCTCTCGGAGCCTTGGCAGGAGATGACTTCCGGGCGTTCAGTGGCTCGAGGTGGCTCGGGTTCAGCGGTGTTCAGGTGTTCAAATCGAAAGTGCCATCGGTTTTGTACCCGGATGGGCTCCAGTGAGCGTGTGCGCTGCGCAGCTGGGGAACCTGAAGCGAAGTTCCAAAGCCTCGCCTCAACCACCAGAGCCAGCTGGGATGAGTTGACCTGGACCGGAAGGTGCGGTGGAAGGGCGCGGAACAGCCCTAAGATGGATCAGGCCCAACGTCAGGGAAGAACACCAAGCAGTTGCCCAAAAGTCGAGACTGGAAGAGAAATGGGTCTTCTATTGCAGGGAAAGTTATAACATGTGACAACCTTTGAGAATGTTTTAGAGATTGATTTCCCCACTAAGTGGAACAGAGGGTTCGCCGGTCTCATTCTTGAGGGAGGTGGAACGACGTTGAAGACCTCGCGGTGTGGATGTTGGTGCGAATCAATTCATTGGCGTGGGGCGCCTTGCTAGTAGGTAGGAGGCCATCGCTCTTAGGTTGGAGGCCATCGCTCTTATGAAAGGAAGCCATCGCTCCTGGGTTGGAAGCCATCGCTCTTAGGTTGGAAGATGTAGGAAGCCATCGCTCTTTGGTTGGAAGCCATCGCTCTTAGGTTGGAGGCCATCGCTCTTAGGTTGGAGGCCATCGGTAGTAGGTTGGAGGCCATCGCTCTTGGGTTGGAGGCCATCGCTCTTTGGTTGGAGGTCATGGCTCTTAGATTGGAGGCCATTGCTATTAGGTTGGAGGCCATCACTATTAGGTTGGAGGCCATTGGAGGCCATCGCTAGTAGGTTGGAGGTTTTCACTAGTAGGAGCTCAAAAACTTTCTGGCTCTTTCATGTGTAATCTGAAACCTTGTTGTATCTGTTTATGCTATTGAACCTGACAGTTGATAGCGTGCCATGTTCTCACATGAAGCTTGGCAAGTCAGATGAACAGGTGCAAAAAGGTTCACCAAAATGGTTGCAAGGGAAACTGAAACTGTTCGGGGGTATGGGATAAGCTTTGGATCCCTTGAAATACTCCAAGGTTCTTTTGGTGAACCTCCGATTCTGGTGGTCGGGGGGAAAAGTTTAAACACCACCTAAACCAGACACTCCATGAATGTAGGCCACATATTTGCCCACAATGGGGTAGTTTCAGGGGTCAATGTCTTATGCTGGCGCCAATGAGGCCGCTGTTGGTGCTGTTGTGAATTGGTGGCAGAATTTTTGGCGGTTGAAACAGCCACATGATGATGTCACTGCCGCCCATTTGCTTGCTGACCACGGAGGTGTAACTGATCGGTGAAAGGCTCTTTATATAGTGCCAGAATGGTCCTGTTGCCAAAGATGACAACAATTTAACATCGTTCAAGGGCGATTGGCACCTGAACAGTGCCGTCCAATCACAGTTTTGTTTGGGTTTTGGTGTATATCGATTTGTGCCTGGCCGAAGACCTAAAGCGCTGGTTGTGCGGCTGTGGCTGCATCTTCTGTTGAACAATTTGAAAAGTCATTGGTCTTTGAGGGCTCTTGGCTATGATTGCTTATGGCCTCTTGCCAGTTCGCACATGACCGTGTGTGGCGCGCCTGCTGAGCTTGGTACCTTTTTGTGGACACAACACTGTCGCGTGGAGGACGGTTGGTGTGTGACGTGCCGCATGTCCACTTACATGGGTCAATGTAGGCCATAAAGTCCAAGACTAGGGCTTTCTTGTTTCGGTTCTGAAGTTGGGTTTTCTGACTAGGCGAAGGCATGGCTGCAGGAAGATGTTTCAGGCATGGCTGCAGGTGGAAAGAATAATTGAATAGCATTGAATAGCCATTTTTCATTCTTTTCTCCTTGCCCATGTGTTATTTTTCCCGTGCAGCTCAGCGGCGTAGTTTCCACTGTCCCCAGGATGCGTCCCGTATGCTTCGGGTTCGGACCGAGCGCCTTCGTTGCCTAAGGAGCGGCTCAATTTTCAACTGAAGTATCCCGTGGCGCGCAATGCATTGCAGATCATCTTCGGAAGGATGGGGAAGGGCGGCGAGAGCGGCTCGAGGGCACCAGGGCCAAGGCGGCCAAGGGCCGGGCCTTCCTTTGTCACGTGGTCTCAGTAGCAAGTGTCGTTCAAGCATTTCTCCAGAGATTGAAAAGGGCACGGTCATGTGAATCAGGCATTTTGTGGTATGGTAACCGTATGGTTCCATAATGTTCTATTTATTTTTAGATCTTCGGACACGCTGTTCCAAAGCGAAGGCATGGGGTCAGATTCACCTCCCTACCCACACTCGAGTCCCAAAAGCTTCCCCGAACTCTTGGACGCTTAAGCCAACCAATCCGAACAGGGGCTTAGAAAAGGGTCTTTGGGATTGATCCCCCAAAAAAAACAAGGCGTCCAGCGTATATGCCTCAAATTCAAGAGAAACATGGTTTTGTTTTGTGCAGGATGTTCATCAACACCGTTTCTCATGTTGGCTGTTGTAGAATCCTTGGGCAAAATCGTCGAGGCCTCGTAGATTGAACATGAAGAGCAAGTCCCGGACCACCTGGAAGGGACCTGAAAGAGACCTGGAAGGGACCTGGAACAACCACGGGTATTCAGTGTTTACACGGTCACAAGACACCCCTCCCGCGATGACCCGTGATGACCTGTGACATCCTGCGACTTTCAGGACATCCAGAAGGATTCGAAGCTTTTACAAGGTGTGCTTTACCCTATTTCTTTACCTGCTGGTCTCTGGCATCATGTTTCATTATCTTGAAGGCCTCTCGGATGCAAACCGATGTCTTTTTTGGGGTGAAACAAACAACAGCATGTTGGACTGCGTTGGGTTCCCGATCATGTTGGGTTTCTTTTCACGGCCGTTTCGAGACAAGACCAGAAATTGGTGTGTGTGGAAACATACCCGAACCATCCCAAAGCTGTAGATGTCTTTTTGGGGCTCATCATTTTGAACACAGCGGGGGTGATGAGTCTAGTTCTGCCGCCAGTACGTGGGTAATCGAGTTTCCTTTTGAGCACCGCAAGAAACCTCCCAAGATGAATTAAGTAAAGGCCTTGTCATATGGAACTTGGGCGTAAGCAGAAACCTGAAAAGCGTAAGGTTGCGTAAGGGAGTTGTGAGACATGCATGTTGCGGAAGCTTGCCATATGGTTGTGTTTTCATTGGTAGATTCTTAGCACACACCTGTCAAGAAAGGAACTGTGACCATGAGAGCTTTGAAACCCTTGGGAACAGACATTTGTGTGCGCTGTGTTTCAGGTGTGTGCACTGTGCTTGTTTGTGTTTGCCACTCTGTATCAAACCTTTCTCAAGACAGCCCATCATAACATGTCATAACATGCCAGGCTCCGTTTGGTGAGGGTTTGGTGGCGTAAGGTTCGCGTAAGCCAACTGTTCATTTCCCCACCCACGGCAGCCAGTAAGTAGATGCTAGTGATCCTTTGCTTCCTCTGCTTCGGAGTCTTAGTGATCATGTGTTTGTCGCCCGCTCACCTGCAAAAAGGAGCCTTCGCGTAATCATTTCCCTTGGGAGTATGGTTCTCATGTGTGAAAATGGAGATGCGTAAGGTCTTCTTCAGTATCCGTGGCGCGTAAGCTCACTGGTCGCATAAGAAAAAGCAGGAGCGTAAGAAATGTTGTACGACATAGATCGACATAGGGGTTTAATCACACGCGTATTTTGCAGAGCTCTTTTGTTCTTGGAGTTTTTGGATGGACAGCCATCCCGCAAGTTTCTGCCAAGAGCTTTGTGCTGCTCATAATATGAAGATATATGAAGTGTGCTATCGCAAAGCTCAATGAGCAATAGTATTGCAAGGAGATGCAAGGAGGCTCTTCTTGGCTCTTCACGCTGCGGGTGTTTGGCAAGAAGGAACCACCCTGTACTAGACAGACAGCAGTTGAACATAGTTGACCTAATTGCTTAATGGGATTCCTATGGATTCCTGATTTTGGAGCAAGGACGCTACTAGGGGCTCCTGGCATCGCTACGAAGACAGAGACGACGATCGACTCTACCTTCCAGCGGGACCTGAACATGAAATGACGTCCTGACCCATGAAATGGTGCTTTGGCTGACCACCAAGCGATGCCAACCGGGTTTGAGCATCAGTGAAGCAACCAGGTGACCACCACACCAGTGGTCCTAGCGCACACCAGTTCTCCTATGGTTGCTTCCTGACACCGAGGTTGGGGATATTCTGACTGCATCTACTTTGCCATCATCACGCTCATGACAGTGGCTTAGATGTCCAGTTCAGGTCTTTAAAGCTGTTCTTGAGGAAAACCCGTTTGGCCGTGCTGTGAATGGTGAATAGCCAAGGTGGGCTATGGTGACCTGGTGCCCAAGAATTGGTTCTCACGCCGCTGGGCCGGGACCTCGCGTGTGACGGCCGAAAGATTGCTCTAAGATGGCTGTGACAAAGCTCCAAGGCTGATCTAGAGGGTTCTTGTTGAAGGCAGGGTGTGGTATAGGGTTGTATTGGGGATACTAAATATATATATATAGATAGATAGATAATCCGCTTAAAAAAAATGAAATCCTATATGGAATCATGCCACCTGGGTTACTCCCCAGCAACCATTTTATAGCACTATAGAATAGAATTGAATCACTCAGGTTCCTCCATTCTAAAAAGAGACCACGGGATACCACGGAAAATTTCCGACAAGGGTGCAATTTGACCTGGTTGACCTGGGGGTTGTGATTCTAAAGTGATAGAACCCTGAGATATATTATGTTTCCGTGAGCTTTGTACTGGTGACATGGAGACTTTTATTTTTTTGGTTACAGACATGTTGATGGTCATTGAGTGATCGTGATTCTATAGCGGAACAACCTGAAAGATGGAAAGACGATTCTATAGTGATCATGATTCGATAAAAATGGAAAGACGTTGCCGGATGTTGTCGGAAACATTCATCGAAAACACATCGGAAAATACTATAGAATCAGAGTCTTTTGAGCATATAGTATTGTAAGGATTCAATCTGTGAGATGGGGGTTGTGATTCTTTAGTGTTGAATACTTCATATTTAATTTCCGCGAGCTTTCACTTCACGACATAGGGGCTTTGATTCTATAGCGTGTGCATGAGTTGGGGGGCATTATCACGAAAGGTAGCTTGAGCTACCTGAGTTCTCCTTGCTTTAGCAAAAATGTATTAGAATCAGGGGTTGGGATTGTGCATTGAATTTGGTCCTGTAAGAGTTGATTCTGTTCGTCGGGGGGGGG